GATCATGAATTAAAGCCCTACGGTTGTGTACTTATTGATGAAGCGCACGAAAGGACAATGTACACGGATATGTGTTTGGGAATGATGAAAAATATACTAAGGATGCGGCCAGATATGAAATTGGTTCGATTTTTTTTTGTTTTTTTAAATTTTTTTCTACTATTATACGAATTTTTTATTTAAATTCAAATTTTGCTCGAATTTGTTCATTTATTTATTCAAATATCGAATTTGTTCGAATTCGAGTTATTCGAAATTATTTTTCGAATTCGAGTTTTTCGAATTTTGTTCGAATTTGTTCATTTATTTATTCGAATATATCGGATTTATTCGAATTCGAGTTATTCGAAATTATTATTCGGATTTTAATTTTGTGTTCTTTTGCCAATCAGAACTGTTTTGACAGATATCTAAGGTAGATTTTTTTCTCTGTTAGCATAAAAATAACCATGCATCGGTTTAAGGTAATTGCATCGGCCACACTGGATCCGGATTTGTTTTTGAATTATTTCGCCGAATTTGGTGCGCAAAAGCTGGAGATCAGGGGCCGGCAATTTCCAATTCGAGTGCATTATGAGCCACCGAAAAGCGATTCCGCGGGGTAAGCAAAAAAGACACAAATTTATGCTCGAACCAAACAAAAAAGTTAACGATACAGTCTCGGAAATTCTGGAACAAACAGACGAGTGATGGACGAAACGACCGCCACGGCAAATGAAGAAACACATCCAGCACTAAAAATTACAACAAAATCTATGCTTTTATTATTGGGCACGCCTCGCCTGGCCATAGCGAATCGCGCCCTGTCGACGCTCCTCACGGCCCACTTATATACTCCCTTAACGCTGCATCCTCTCGGCTAAACTGCGGGGGGGCGCCAAAGTGAAAATTTATTAGTGGTGGAAAATTTAAGTGAAAATTTAATTAGAAAATGTAAAAGTGGATGATGAAAAAACTCAAAAAGAATAAAAAGGAAAGATATAAATAGAAATTATAAATTAGGTAAGCAGTGTTTCGGTCCATTAAGTCGTATACATTTCTTACCATTACCACAATTGGACCTCGTCAGTACGACG